GCCCATAATGGGCAGCATTAATATATATACCCACATGCCAGCTAAGGTCAGAAGAGCTTTATTTAACAGCTGGTCTTATGTCTGACCCCTCCTGTTGTTAATTGATAAGCCTGAAACATGCACTTGTCAAGGTTCCGAGGCAAATATGGCATAGCCATCGATCATCTTACATTACATTGCATTTAGCTGACACTTTTATCCAAAGCGACTTACAATAAATGCGTTCGACCAACAAAATACAAACTTGAAGAAAACAGAATCATATAAGTGCATCAGGTTTCATAGAGCTAAAACATTTCAAGTGCTACTCAACTGGTTTTAGATAAGCCAGTCCTTTATTAGTATATAAGTGCTTTGTTAATAATTATATCAAAGTAGAGTACATGTGTACAAACAATGAGATAAAATGTTTGATGTGATGGTTAAGGTTTTGAGTTAAGTTGCTCTGGAAGAATGTTTACCACAGTGTTTTCCGTCCAATAAACAGTGACTTACCTTGACATTGTTCATTTTGCCTTGTTCCTTTTAAATTGGTTCCAGACCAGTATAGTCAAAGGATAAATACTTTACAAACGCTGAGCGTGTTGAGAAGTTGGATTCATATGGAACATATTGTTGTTGTTATGAGCAATGGATGCTGTCCAACTGCCTACAGAGTGAAAATGAACAGGATCATATGGTCAAAAAACCACAGCGCTGTTACTAAAATCAATGTCTCTCTCCCTCTATCTCGACAGAAATACACAAGCACACGAGACGAATCGTGCACATTATCAAATTGATGCACACAATAACACCCAGCAGACATAAACACACACAGATCAGCCCCACTCGCTCACATGCACGCATAATTAATACTGATATAAATCAACTGCCCAATTTTTAGTTGGAGCGCGTAACCAAAATTCCTCAAAATGATCTGCAGTAATTTACGGCGTGTTTTCCACCGAGGGGAGTGATACCGGGTTCTAGGCTGTAAACGTTGCTGTGCCATGTTTATTTTCATTTCATTTTGTTCTGCCTCTACTAACACTTTACCTTGGTGATTTAAGGAGGCTTAGAGTAGTTTTGGAATGCAACCAAAGTGTGTGTGTGTGTGTGTGTGTGTGTGTGTGTGTGTGTGTGTGTGTGTGTGTGTGTGTGTGTGTGTGTGTGTGTGTGTTTGTTTGTGTGTCTGTGTGAGAGAGAGAGTGCATGTCCTAAGTATTAGGCTACTGAATCCTCTTCTGTCTTAGTTCTTGACTCTTTTCTGCAGTATGTTATGTAATAAGGAAATAGCTTCACTTGTACACTGTGCACCTGCAAGCATGTGGGGCTTCATCTAAATATAATCATTTGTATTTTATTTGTATTTGTATTTATTTATAGAAGGACCATGCATACAAAAACATTAATATCAGCAAAGAGAAAATATGCCAGATTATAGCTAATAGCTCATTTCCATCTGTGGTCTCTCAGGCAGGTTCATAACAATCAATAAACAAATAATAACATTGCATGATCTCTATCAGTCAAACAATTTTAAAACCTGATTTAAGTACAGCTCAATAAATTAATACATAGTACACTTGAAATACACTGACATGATCTCGGTCACTCAAATAATTATAAAGCCTGATTTAAATATGAACATAATACTTAGTACACTTCAAATACACTTAAATAAAATATCTAAGATATAGTATGACAATACAGTTCAAATAAAAATCTCAGATTACGGTGTAATTAATGTTGGCATGACTGGTTGCTTAATATCATTATCATTTTTCAGACCACTTGTGCCTACAGTGAACGCTCTTCCAACAGTGCAACATAGAATATACTTAAGACCTATGGAAGTAAAAAAAGGCCTAAGATAAAACAGAATGTGAAATCTAATACTGTTTATTATAATAATATGCAAATAGGTTTTATGCTTCTCTTGCCAATAAACCAAACAGAGGTAAGTGCATGTTGTGTTTCAACTTTGTCGACGTTGTTTTGGACTTTTTGGTCTGAAAATAATCCTAACTCAATGTCCTTTTATTTAGCTTTTTATATAGCTTTCAAAAATGGTTGAAGAAACTAGTGAGTGATCCTTTAGTTGGGATTATTCTGAGCAAAAACAAATCTATGAAATTACCCATCAGACTATTTTCTTTACCAAAGCTACAAGTTATGCATTAAAAACTCAAAGTTCATGCTGTAGTCGTATGTCTCAGGGTCTCAGGGTCTCCTAAACAGAGTGCCGTGTGCTGACCTGCGATGGTGGTGAGTTTGAGCAGGTACCCGTCCAGGTCGATGTGCACCCCGGGGCCGTGGTAGGGCAGGGCGATGCGGGTCCCGTTCTTCCGGACCGTGAGGTGCTGGTGGAGCCCGAGGACCAGCCCGCCCAGCCGGATCTCCACCGACTGAGTCCAGGAGAAGGAGCGCGTCCGCCGGGCGTCGTTCTTCACCAACACCTGGGGAACAGAGAGAGGAGACACACGTTGTTAGAAAAATATCACTGGTCCCTAGCTTGAGCTTGAACCTCAGGATCCATGTATTTATGATCCTCTCCAGAATGGAAGTAGTCATCACATACAGAGCATCAACTAGTTCCTGAACAGTGTCCTTCACATGCTGATATCCAAGAGAGGGAGTTACACAGTCACTAGATGGAGGAATAGAAAGCAGTACATCCTGTCATGTTCAAAATTCTTAACATTCTGACTTTTTATCCAAATCCAGACTTCTTCCTCAAAATCTCAAAATCCAGATTTTTCAAAAAAATCTGGCCTTTTCTCAAAATTCTGTCTTTTTCTCAAATTTCTCAAAACATTCTGACTTTTTTCGAAAACAAACAGAAAATAGGGAGGTCAGTGTTAGGAAAAATATCACTGGTCCCCGGCTTGATCTTCAACCTCAGGATCCATGTATCTGTGATCCTCTCCAGAATGGAAGTAGTCATCACATACAGAGCATCAACTAGTTCCTGAACAGTGTCCTTCACATGCTGATATCCAAGAGAGGGAGTTACACAGTCACAAGATGGAGGAATAGAAAGCAGTATTCATGTTTACTTCAATATCTAAGATATAGTATGACAATACAGTTCAAATTTTAAAAAACTCAGATTACAGTGTAATTAATGTTGGCATGACTGGTTGCTTAATATCATTTTTTTTGCACCATAAGAAAACGAGTTAAAATCAGTACAGGTTTTAAGTTCAACTGGAAGAGCATTCCAGTGCTTGATGGCCGTAAACGAAAATGCTGATCGTCCAAAGGCAGTGCGCCTCAGAGGGATGGTTAGATCTGCATTTAATGCAGATCTGGAGTTTCTGCAACTCTGCTCATGGCATTTAAATCTTCTTTAATTTCCTTGAGTCATTAAACCTTCTCTAGAAAGAGTAAACACTTTAGTATGTTCAGATGTCGCCAACAAACTATCCTATTTATAACTGATTGTTGTCAAGTGTTGGATAAATAGTTTCTCTACAGAAGCTCATAATGTATTCTGTGTAAACTGAATATACTGTATCTATCAGATAGCTGTGCTAAATACTCACCTGCCAGTTGTTATAAAGGGTTTCTATTGCTTAAAGTTTCTTTCTTTTTTTTGTATTGCACCCATACCACTTGGGCTATTCCTAAGTATGTATGTCAAGGTCTACAATAATACAAATGCATTCTTCTAATATTGAGAGAAAGTGTGAACTTTTGAGAAAAAAATATTTTCTATGGATTTTTGAAGCCATTGTTTACTTTTGCTATCCTGACAATAACT